GTTACGAATCTATAAGATTGTAGTATTGTTTTCACATTTGCATGAAATCTATCCTTCTTCTTGACCTTTCGTACTCTTCACCTTATTTTTCACCAACTTAATTTTGACCATAAAGTTTGAGGTGGTAAGTAGGAGGGACCGATTATTTATAAAATAAAATTTATCAATTTTTCGGTTATTCTATTTGTATAATCAAAATTACACTTTTTGAAACCGTCTTTGTCATCTCGATTTTTTTTCGGTGTTTGTGCGTTCAATTAATTTTGGATATCTTTTAAAAAACGTCATGCAAGAGTCACAAGTAAAAATTAGAATACGACACCATTCACACTTGTATAGGATTTTGGAAAAAACTCATTAGGCATTTTATTGTTTAAAATGTGATGAATCAAAGGAAACATAAAAGTTAACTAGAATAGACACCCGTCCAACTATTCTATTATAGTGTAAAATAAATTAGGCAAAGACGAGAAATTTGAATCACAAGAGTGAAAAGATATTAATCAAAATTGGACTCATGAACGGAGTGTAATAAAATTAAGTATTTAATAAGAGAAATCTGAATCATAAAAGGGAAAAGTTATCCAATACATTGTGGCTCGTTACTCAAGATAATAGAACTGCTTTAGTTTTATAGGAGTAGCAGAATAGTTTCAATAGGTTCCCAAGTTGGACTTCGGGTGTCAATTACCTGTTGGCATGTAGTTGTTTTCATCTTCTAGGCCCAAAGAAAAAACTTAATGCTTTATTATTTTGAAATTTGATATATATAATATATTTAATACATATAATTTATTGAGTACAGTTCGGTATTTTTTCGATTTACTTTTACAAAATTAAAAACTTATACTGTGATGACCCAATAGGTCATTTTGAGTTTTAGCTTTTGTTTCTGTATTCCGAGACCTTGACTAGCTCCGTTTAGTGTTTCTCGATTTGTGTGCACAGTCCATGTCTTGTTCCGAAAAGGTTTTATGTGAAAAGTTAAAGAAAATATGAAATTTTGCCTTAAAATTAGTTTGAGTTGACTACGGTCAACATTTTGTGTAAACGGACCCGAATCAGTATTTTGACGGTCCCGATGGGTCCGCTCAGAATTGAATTCAGAAGTCCCTAACTTGATTAATATGATTTGTTGAAAACTAGTAATTTGAAGGTTCAAAGAATTCCTAAGTTTGACCGTACATTGACTTTGTTGCTACCCGGTTCGGATTTTGATTTCGGTACAAAATAGGTTCATTTCACTATTTACAACTTGTCTGCAAAATTTAGTTCAATTCGAAATTCATTTGACATGATTTCGACGCTTAAATGTGATTCTAGTGTTCTTGAGTTTCACTTTGAAAGTTCATTCGTTTTGAGGATTGATTCGTTGATTTAGGTATTATTTTGTTAGCTATACTGATTCGGTATACTTTAAAGACGCCCTCGGTACAATATTGACTGATTTGATTGCGCGAGAAAGTTTATATGATGTTATTACACTTGTGTACATGTTTGGTTTAGAGCCCAAGTAGTATGGATGAGTTTTGGAGGCTATAGACTGATTTTGGACTTTGGAGAATAGCTAATGATTCTCGGTTGCTGGTGTGCTATGCAGACCTCACAATTGCGAGGTGGGAGATCGCATTTGCGATGTTTGGCGTTTTTTGCTAGACTCGCATTTGTGAACTTGTATTCACATTTGCGAAGGTAGGGTTGGGTGAGCTTTCTCGCGGTTGCGATCAGCCTGGTCGTATTTGCGATGTGTCAACTGTCTGCAATTGCTAACACTAAGTCGTATTTGCGACTGTAGCAGGGATGTGGGTTCTTCGCTTTTGCGATGGATTTCTCGCATTTGCAGGATTGCGACACCTGCGACTGGACAAAAAGTTGAGGGGCAGGATTTTTAGCCTCATTTTTATATTTTGGAACCCTAGGCTCGGTATGAGGCGATTTTGAAGAGGGAATTTCATCTACAAACTTTGGGTGAGTGATTCTAATCCATTTCTAATCATATTCTTTCAATTTATCTTGTATTTTTAACATCAAAATTATGTAAATCAAAGTGAAAATTTGTGAAATCTTGTCCAAGTTTTTGAAAAATAAGAAATTGAGTTTTGAGAGTCGATTTGGACTCGGATTTTGAAACTAATCACATATATAAACTTGTGGGGTCATGGATAGTCGAAATCTACCATTGGACCCTATAATGACCCGGTCGATCATTTTAAGTGTTGTAGCTCCGCTCCCCTATTTACTACTTATTCTATGTTCAATTGTTATTATGTGACTTGCTGGGGTGGTTGGTTTGGTTCCGGGGATATTTCGGAATGAATTAGGACACTTAGTCTCAAGGTTGGAAGCCTAAGTTGAAAGAGTTTATCGAATATTGACCTATATGTAAATGGCTCCGGCATAGAGTTTTGATGATTTTGATAGCTTCGTAGGGTTATTTTGGACTTAGGAGCGTGCTCGGATAGTGATTTGGAGGTCCGTTGGTGATTTTGGCTTGAAATGGCGAAAGTTTTAAAAATAGAAGTTTGGAGAGCTGAGAAGTTTGACCGAGAGTTGACTTTGTAGTTACCGGGCTCAGATTTTAGTTCCGGAAGTTGGAATAGGTTCATTGTGTCATTTATGACTTATGCGCAAAATCTTGGGTCAATCGGAGTGGATTTGATAGGTTTCGGCATCGAATGCAGAAGTCAGAAGTTTATAAGTTCATTAGGCTTGAATCGATGCGCGATTCATGGTTTTAGTATTTTTTGACATGATTTGACGCCTCGAGGGAGTTCGTATGATGTTTTAGGACTTGTTGGTATGTTTGGTTGAGGTCTCGTGGGTCTCAGGTGTGATTCGAATCATATTCAACGCATTTTGAACCTTGGAGGAACTTCTGATTTCTGCTACTGGTTTTCTTATACGCGATCGCGAGTGTGATATTGCGATCACGAAGGGTTGTTGGTCACTGATGGAAAATTTTTCTACGTGATCGCGAGGTAAAGTCTGCGATCGCGTGGGTTGAGCAGTTAATGTATCGCGAACGCATGGTCTTAGTCGCGTCCGCGAAGAAGAAGAGAAGGTTGGGGTCACGCGTATTGTTCATTGCGATCGTATGAGGTTGTTCGCGATCGCGTAGGTCAGAAAAGTCTGTGCATCGCTTTCGCGTGTGGGATTTCTCTCGCGGAGAGTAATTTGGGCAGCCTTTGAATTTGTGCTTCGCGATCGCGAAGAAAAGACTTCTGGGCAGAACATAAGTGTCAAAACGAGGGTTTGAGTTATATTTCACAATTTGATCTAGGGAGCTCGGATTAAGGCGATTCTTGGAGAGATTTTCAAGGGACTGATTGGGGTAAGTAATTCTAACTCGGATTTGGTTAAATTACATGAATATATCATTATTTTCATCATTTAATTAGTGTTTTGGGTTAAAAAATTGGGGAAAAATTGTAGAAACTTCTTAGGCTTTAATTTGAGAATTTGAAGGTCGAGTTGTGATCGGATTTGAGTAATCTTGGTATCGTTGGACTCGTGGTTGAATGGTGTTCGGAATTTTATAACTTTTACTAGATTCTGAGACGAGGGTCCGGGGTTGACTTTTTGACTTTTGATTAAGAACTTAGCTTTTTCATATGGAATTGATTCCTATAGCTTGTGTTGATCATATTGAGTTGTTTGTGGCCAGATTCGAGGCGTTCAGAGGCTGATTCGCAAGGCAAGGGGTTATTAGAATAGTGATTTGCACGGTTTGAGGTCAGTAACATTTTTAAGCTTGATTCTGAAAGTATGAATCCCTGAATTTCGTGTTATGTGATCGGTGTTGGGGTAATGCACATGTTGGGTGACGGGTGTGTTGGCTTACACCGTAGTAATTATGACTTAGTCGATTTCGTGGGACTATGTCGTCACCTTATCTGAATATTATTTCTGTACTATATGTGTTAGAGCACTTGAGTTGTGATTTATGTTAGAAATCATGTTTAGACTATGAGTTGGTACTATTGGGACCCAAAGTGGTCGTTCTTTTCCTGTTGAGATTATTTGCTTAATTTGCAGTTATGTGCTCAGTCCTATTCATCATTGCATATCATATCTCAATCTCTATATCATTTATGGTCACATCATGTATCATTGATTTGGGTTGCTTAGCATGAGTGAGGTGAGCCCAAGAGACTGGAGAGATTGATGATTGAGTTGGGGTCCGAGAGCCGTGTGTGAGTGATAGATGTGGATCGGATTGCACACGCAACATGCCTTATAGATATATGTGGATCAGGTTTCACACCGCAATAGGCCTTATAGCTATATGTGGATCGGGTTGCACGTCGCAACAGCCTTTATGGCTATATGTGAATCGGGTTACACGCCGCAGCAGGCCTTATAGGCTTTATTATTATTTATGGGATCGGGTTGTACGCCACAGGAGGCATCGTAGTGTGCTAAGTGACTAAGTGTGACGAGCGAGAGTTGAGACAGTCAGATTGAGTGCTCTGAGAGTGAGTACGTGAGGTTTTCATTGTGTTGCATCACATACAGTATTCATATTGGCATATAGATATAGAGATGTCATATTCCTTATATTAGTCACACTTGGCATTGTTTTTATCTGTGTTGAACTTAACTGTTAAACTTGGAAGCATGTCTACTTTTCCTATACTGTGTACGAATAGATTATGGGTTTTTCTTGGAGATATAATTGTCCTATTTCCTGTCATTTTTGTATTGTTAAACTCTATATTTATACTATATTGGTTGAGCTCGTCACTACTTTTAGCCCAAAGGTTAGACTTGTTACTTATTAAGTTGGTTGTACTCACGCTACACCGTGTACTTCATGTGCAGATCCAGGTATTTTCGTGCATGGTGGTTGCTGATCTTGGAGTTTTTACCTGTTCGGAGATTATCGAGGTAGCTGCTTTGGTGTCGGCAGACCTTGACTCTCCTCCTCT